AAGATGCTTTCCCTTGGGTCCCTCAGAGTGGAGGCCAGAGCTCCAATTGAAAGGAACCTGTCTGGGTGGTTAGGTTTATTTCTTTTCCTGCTGTTAGGGCAAAGTTGATGGATGAATGAACAAGAGTCTGGACAGCACAAAGCAGAGGAATAGAAGCTTCAGCCTGGCAAGGAGAGACAGGGCACGCCCAGGCCTGGCAGCCCGTAGGGCACTAATTTGGCCTGACTGGTTTTGTTTGGCCCTCATTACCTTCCTCTTTGGGGCCCCCAGTAACATACCAGCCAAGCTCTGAAGATAGAGCTATTATTCTAGGAGACAATGCCCTATAGCCTGAACTAAGCTACCTTTCCAGTCTTCTTACTCCTTCCTTCCTTCCAAATACTCTATGATCTAGTGATGTTGGCCTCCTCGCTTTATCTTGCACAAGATACTCCATTTCCTGACTCTGGTCATTTTCACTGGCTGTCCTTTCCCTGTGCCTGGAATTCTCTCTGTCCTCATCACCACCTCCTGGTTTCCCTGGCTTCAAAGTCCAGCTAAAATGGTACCTTCCACAAGAAGTTTTTCCTGATCCCACTTTAATACCAAAACCTTCCCTCTGTTGATTGTCTCCAGTTTACCCTGTATATATCTTGTTTGCACATAGTTGTTTGCATGTTGTCTCCCCCATCAGACTGTGAGCTCCCAGAACACAGGGGCTGTCTTTTGACTTTCTTTGTATCTTCAGTAGTTAGCACAATGCCTGGTATACAGTAGGTGCTCAATAAATGCTTACTGGAGGGCAGCTAGGTGGCACAGTGGATAGAGCACCAACCTGGATTCAGGAGGACCTGAGTTCAAATCCGGCCTCAGACACATAATACTTACTAGCTGTGTGACCCTGGACAAGTCACTTAACCCCATTGCCTAACCAAAAAAAAAAAAAAAGAATTAAAAAAAATTTTAAAAAATAAGTGCTTACTGACTTGTTGACACATCAGATGGAATCCTGCTTAACTTTGGCTTAACCCAAAGGCCCTATTCATGCTAAAATATTATTTTTAAAGACTGGGGCCACTTCCTATCCTAGTTCATCCTGGACTAAGTACCCACCAAGAGCACGCAGCTGCAGTAAGCACTTTGCTGTTTACAAAGAATGCAGGAGACCTGCATTTTAACCTCAGGACCACCCCACCCCACCTACTAGCTGTATAACTTTGGGCTAATCTCTTCATCTCTCTGAATCTGTTTCCTTAGCCTCCAGGATGCTCATCTTACCTAGCTCCATCTTCTTTCTTCTGTCCTTACCTTCTCCTCATCTACTCCCAGGGCTTTTGCAAGGATTAAATGACATCTGAGACCTTGTCTGAGCCCCAGTTTCCTCATCTGTAAAATGGGGAGAATAGCCACACTACTTATCACACAGTTTTGTGAGGATCAGATGACACAGGTAAAGTTCCCTGAAAACTTCAGTTTTCATTACACATACACATTGCAGGTAGCTAGGTGGCGCCATACTGCACAGACTGCTAGGCCTGGAATCAGACTCATCTTCCTGAGTTCAAATCTGGCCTCAGACACTTACTAGTTGTGTGACCCTGGGCAAGTCACTTAGGCCTGTTTGCCTCAGTTTTCTCATCTGTAAAATGAGCTGGAGAATGACAAACCACTCTAGTATCTTTGCCAAGAAACCCCAAATGGGGTCACAGAGAGTTGGACATGACTGAACAAATATACACATCATTATTATTATAATCGTCACCACCATCATTATTTACATGGAAGTGCTTTGAGAATTTTGAGAGTCATATAAATATAAAGTGTTTTCCTGTTATTCTCTATTCCCTATCCTCTAGAAGGCTTAGTGGTGAAAGATAAGGATAATCAGTCAGTTAATAAGCATTTATTAAATAAATGCTTATTATGTGCCTGGCACTGTGCTAAGCTCTAGGGGAAACAAAAAAACAGCAAAATACAGGCCATGCTCTCAGGGAACTCACAGTCTAATGGGAGAGACAACTGTCAATAGCTAGGTACAAACAAGATACGTACAGGACAAATTAACAAAGTGAAGACATCAGACCTTTGATTTCATTGGTATACGAAAACTCCTCAGTGAGAAAACTCTCTCTATCAATGTAGCTCCTCCCCTTCTCTGCAATTTATAGTCCTAGAGAGGTGCTTAGAGAACTGAGAGGTTAAATGTCTGTGTTAGAGGACAGACTTAAACTCGGATCTTCTCTCTTTGGGGGCTGGCTCTTTATCCACACAACATCACAGAACAGTAGCATCTACTGCATACCCACTATGTCACTTGCGCTGTGATATACTTGATGGCTCTGCGATCTCACTGATAAGACTCCTTGTGCCAGCTCTGTCAGCTGTAACCCATCCACTCCTCATCTTGGGAGCCTTGTCCATGTTTTCCCAAAATCATCTACTGAGGGCTCATCCAGTGTTTGGGGACCTTCTTCCAGATGTGTTGACATTATGTGGCATACCCACTATCTTTTACCACTTGCTCTCCATACATGACTGACCCATGTCCTTTGCTGGTTATACATCCATTTGGTGACATCTTTAATGTTGACTCTGGAGTGCAGTTCTTCACTGGTAACATTCTTGGGCCTCTTCATGCCTTCCATTCAGACTGACTTGACCTTTCTTGGTACTGGAGAATGCACTGCACAGATGTAAAGCAGGGTACAAACACAGGGTGTGCGTGGTCTGGGAGTTCTTCCTTCAAAGCTCTCCTTTTTAAGACTCATCTAGGAGTAGAGGTGACCCAGAGGTCTCCAAAGTCTTAAGAAATCACTGGGAAGACATCCAGTACAGTCTAGCAGGTATAGATTGGGTGTTTTTATCACACCAGGACCAGCCCAGATAAGTTCAAAGAGGCTCCTCTCCAACGGGTTGGCCAAGAAACAAGTGATTTTTTTTCCTATCCATGGCAGTTCTGGAAGACTGAGCACTAAAAGACAGAGGAGGAAGTGCTTATGCTGGAGGGAATAACCATATCAATGAAACTGCAGATGATTCAAAGACCAAAGCATCATCAGTACCTTATATTTATAGTATACCCAAGTTAATGAATTTTCAAAGATGATAAAATGCATGACTAGCAAACAACACCGAACACACTTGGATTTTTCCTTGGTTTTCTGATAACCCTTCAGGATGTCAGAGGCCTCGTGGGTCACTGTTACAGACTGTATGGCTGCAGACAAAAAACAGGATTATTTGAACTTCCTGGTAGATGTTCAGATTGTGCAAGGACAGGTGCTGACTACATAGCATGTCTGAATCTGAGCAGCAGCCAATGTCATGATGACTACAGAGTTTCTTTGCTTGGGATGGATGTTGTTCAACGCATGGTCACTGAGTTTTCTTCAGGGAGCTCCCTCCTCCTTGAGGTGACTATTGTGGTGATTCATAACTATCCTGACTGGCAGATGTCTAGATTGAATGTATCCTGCAGCATCTCTGATCAAAGCAAATCATTGTGGTTAAGGGATTATCAAACTGATGTGGCCATTAGCCAGTTTTCAATTTAGATGGACCATATAGATTAGCTGGAGGAGGTACCCATGGAAATAGAATGGGACTTAGAAGACCTGAGTGCCATTCTGGCCCTGCCACTTGCTGTGGGATATTAGATAAGTCACTGGGCAGCACAGTAGATAGAACGCTGGGCTGGGAATCAGGAAGACTTGAGTTCAAATGTGACCTCAGACACTGTGTGAACCTAGGCAAGACTTTTAGGCTTTGCCTCAGTTTCACTGCAAAATGGGGTATGTAATAACACCAACTCCCACAGTTGTTAAGAGGATGAAATGGTATAAAGTACCTGGTACCTAGTAGTTACCTAATAAATGTTCTTTTCCTTCCTTCTCTGGGCTTCACATTTCTCACATGCAAAATGGGAAATGAACTAGAGCTGGAAGGGTCCTCAGAGGTCCTCCCATGCAAAGCCCTTATTTTGTGGGTGAACTTTGATCCAGTATTTGAATTCAGGTCTCATGACTCTGGAGCATCGAGGTAGCAGCTGTGGATAGAGAGCGTTGGGCCTGGAGTCTGGGAAGACTCTTCCTAAGTTCCAATCTGGCCTCAAACACTTGTGACCCTGGGCAAGTCACTTAACCTTGTTTGCCTGTTTCCTCATCTGTCAAATGCATTGAAGAATGAAGTCCCACGAAGTCCTATGACTTCAAATGCAGTTGGAAAGTTCAAGTATTCTTTATATTTCATGGCACTGATCTCTAGTTTTCTTCCAACTCTGGCATTGTGTGATTACATTAAAAATACAAAAGCTGGGTGTAGACTATGCCTAACAGGATGCTAGGTTTATCGGGCTGGTTCCTTGTCTGTCCCTTACAGTATGTGTGAACTTGAGCAAATCACTTCCAGTTCCTGGGTGGCATTTTCCCCCTCTGTAAAATGAGATGAGACAGTGGTGCATCCAATTATATAATCTCTAACGTTTCTTCCTCTTTCTATTCTATGATCCTCTGAATGGCAGTTTTCTTAAAAACAAAACAAACAAAAAACATCACTTTTCTAAGGAGAAGTAAGAATAGGTTGAGCTCTAGGGCAGCTTACAGAAATTGTGTGCCTCCCCAGCTCAATCACTGAAAAACGTCAGATTCCCTAACTTTCTGCCCAATTTCCTGCTCTGTCTGGGGAAGGGGGGTGGGGTGAAGGGGGGGCGGAGAGGCTGAAAAGGGAGGGAAGGTGTCTGTGCCTCTCATTTTCATCAGTCCCTTTGTTATCTATATCTTCCCTCATCCCACACCCCCTTCACATCTTTTCCCCCTCCCCGTTGTCTAGTCAAGGGGTCAAGTCCCAGGCTATATTACCCTAGACTCCTCACCACTGTTTCTTTCTCTCAACCCTACTTCCTGGGGTACAGGCCCTCATTGTACCCAAACATCTGAATTAAAAGTACATGGAAAGACGAATTAGAAAGTACCTCTCTTGTACCGCGTCCCCCCCCCCCCTTAAAGACTTTTTCTCAAGCAAGCTCCAAGGGCACAAACTTTTTTGTTTTGTTTTGTTTTGCAAACGTTCATTTCTTAGGCAAATGACTCCGGTTACCCAGAGCAAATCAACTCAGAGCCCGCGCGGCTCCGGCCCTGGGCTCTTTTGCATGTCTCGGAGCTGGCAAGGGCCCGGGCATCAGCCGAGGCTCCTGGGACTTGTAGTCTGCTGCGAGAGTTGGCTTCTCCGGCTCGCCGACGGTGCTCCTTGAGCGAGGCGCTTGGCGATCTGCGTGAACTCGGGCTGGGGTAGCGAAGCGGGGATTATGGCTGGAGGTCCGGGAATCTCACCATGTCATCTGCAGGCCCGTGCCTACGCCCGGGTTTCGCGCTGATTGTAGCAGGCAAAGCATTTGCAAATTACCTCATCCATGTCCCTGACGCAGAACATAACTCTCATTTCAAAAGCAATTTAAGGTTTACATAGTCCTTACCGTGACACAGTCAGGGCAAACTCTTTTTTCCTTCTTTCCTTTCTTTCTCTTTCCTCCTTATATTGAGCATTAGGGCTATCTGTGTATGTGTATCACGTCTCTCTCTCTCTCTCTCTCTCTCTCTCTCTCTCTCTCTCTCTCTCTCTCTCTCTCTCTCTCTCTCTCTCTCTCTGTTTTAGATCTGTGTATGTGTATCACCTTCCTTTCTCTACTTTCTGCATTAGAGCCGTGTATGTCTATCTTCTTTTTCTTTTGTTCTTATATCATTAGAGCATCTTTTTTCTTTCTTTTCCTTCCTTCCTTCCTTCCTTCCTTCCTTCCTTCCTTCCTTCCTTCCTTCCTTCCTTCCTTCCTTCCTTCCTTCCTTCCTTCCTTCCTTCCTTCCTTCCTTCCTTCCTTCCTTCCTTCCTTCCTTCCTTCCTTCCTTCCTTCCTCTTCCATCTCTGTATGTGTATCTTTCATCTGTGTATGTCGGATAAGGCTCTTTATTTTAACTTGGACTAAGAAGACCCGAGTTCCAGGCCTATTTCTGCTACTTGTAATCCGCTAGTTACACAGGATGGTCCAAAAATGCACTAAGACTTTTGGGGCATTCTCTGTGCTTCAGTTTCCTTCTCTGTAAAACGAAGGTGTCTGACTGAGGAGAGGATCTCTGAAGCCCCTTACAATGCTAAATTCTATGACTCCAAATTTGGGAAATCCCTTCCTTCGGAAACCTAAGTCTCTTCCACTTTCCCGCAGACTTTTATTTTTCATTCATCACTTGCACCGGATCCAGAACTGCAAAAATCCCACCTTTACCTTGTGTCCTAGAAAGCCGGGTTCTCTGGACCGGTTTAGGTTGGGTTGGACGGGACAGGAACGGCAGGGCAGGGCTGGGCTGGGTCAGGGACTACGTTTCCCAGCGATCGCTGCGCCCGGGGGCGTGCTGGAGGCGGGACGAGGGCGGGTCCGAGGGCGGGAGGGGGCGGTGCTGCCTACAAAGAGCCGGGGCTGCAGCCGGGGTGGCGATTCCCCAGACGCTCTAGGTCTGTGCGCGCGGGTTGCGCCGGTGCTCTGGGCTTCTCTCTTCTACTCCTTGCTGTGCGCGCCTGGGGCCCCTTGCACCACCTGCTTCTCACCTCCCCGATGCGCTGAACTTGGAGTAAACAGTCGGATTTTCCCTGTATCTTGAACAGGAAGGAGATCCACTTCGAGGGAGCAGTTTTTTTGGGAGGAAGAGGTGGTAGGCGCGCACGCCTCGCCCGAGCGCGGCTTCTCCGGGGCCCCCGGGCTCCGTCTGGCCGCGCGGCCCCGGCGCGGATGCTCCTCCAACAGGCGCCGTGCTCGCTGAGCAGCGGGCGGCCCCCGGCCGGCACCATGCACACCCTCCAGAAGGATACCACGTTCACCAAGATCTTCGTCGGGGGACTGCCCTACCACACCACTGACTCCTCCTTAAGGAAGTACTTCGAGGGCTTCGGGGACATCGAGGAGGCTGTGGTCATCACCGACCGCCAGACGGGCAAGTCCCGGGGCTACGGCTTTGTAAGTGACCCCGCACCCCGGCTAAGCACCAAGTCCTCTCCCCCCCCCCCCGCCTCCCTTGGAAGCGGAAAACTTTAGAGGTTGGAAGTGATCAAGCTGTCTGCTGGTTCTCCCCATCCCGACCTCCCCGGTCGCACGTGCCTTTCCTCTAGGGCTGAACTCTAGAAGGTTTTAAATAAATTAATTAATATATTTGTATTCTCTGCCATTTGCCAGGGTGTTGGCATCCTCATCGTAGTACCTGTCAGCAGAACTGGGCCTCCCAGTCTCTCTCTCTTCCCTCCTACTTTCCTCCCCCACCCCTCCCCCCTTCTTCTCCCCTCCTCTTCCCTCCCCCACCATCTTATCTGTAACCTTTCAGCTGGAGTTGCTGTTTGCGTCTGTGTAAACTAGTGAGCCGTTCAGTCTTCCATCTCTGAACTCGGCTCAGACCCCAGCTTTTCAACCGTCCCCTCCTCCCACTCCCCCGCCCCCCATGGTGCCTCTCCCCCACTGAGCATATACATAGCCCAACCACTAGGCACACTGAGACCCTCCCTGTGGCTCCTTATCCGGAGAGCACGGTATCTTCCCGGGTTCTCTGCACCTGCAGGTGGCTCACAACACATTTTCATTTCAGAACTCTTGCAGGAGAAAGTTTAAAAAAAAATCTTATATGTAGTCTCCCCTTCTTATCCTAAATCTTCAAGAGGCCCTTGGAGGGAGAGGGAAGAGTTGTCACCTCTCTGTCGTCTACTCCAGTGTTCTCTCCTAGAGAACCTGCAAATGAAAGGACACCGTGTTCAAATTTATCCTTGATTCCTAAGCCTTCCTCCTGAGTATTCTGTGACACCATGTTTTGCTAGCAAGCCTATCCCTCCCAGTGGGAGAAGTTAGGGAGACTTGGTGGGATGGAGCAACCTCTGACTTGAGTCTGGAGCCCTTTGCTTGACCGACTTTGGTGTCTTTCCTTCTCACTTATTATTTATGATGCTTTTGAAAGTTTCAGATCTACCTAAAATGCTTGCCCCACTGGTGCCTCTTGCTACATAATCAACAAAGGTGCTTTGTTGCGATTGTTATCCCTCTTTGAGTGATTTTCTTTTCTTTTTGCACCGTGGGCACTGCTCAGTGGCAGTGAGGAAAGTCAGAGAACTATCCCAGGGGGCATTGGGTAAAGCAGATGTGGAAAGGAAAAACACCCTGAGCTCCCTTTGGAGTGATCTTCCTCCTTCCTTGCTTACTCATTCTGCTTGAGAGTGAATATTAAGATGGGAGGATTAAATTTATAGACCCTCTGTGGATAAGACCCTTGAGAACTCATGTGCTTCTTCTAGGTTACAATGGCAGACCGGGCTGCAGCAGAGAGAGCTTGTAAAGACCCCAACCCCATCATAGATGGCCGGAAAGCAAATGTTAATTTGGCATATCTGGGAGCCAAGCCAAGGAGTATTCACACTGGTGAGAGCAACAACCTTGGTTTGTTTTTTTCCTCCATCTTTTCTCTGCTCACATTATTATATTCAGTGTACTTATTGATGGTGGAGTACAAAATGCATGTTCATCGGCCCGGCCTTATCCTGTCGTTGAACAAGCTGTTGTCGGTTATTAAGTGTTCCACAATGTCATTACTTTGGTGTTGGTGCTCAGGTCAGAGTTAGGAATTTGGTTTGAAAGAGGTGAGCCCCACATCTAGGAAGGGTCTACTGGGGCCAGAACAAAACCTGTGCCGAAGATACAATGGTAGTTCTTTTAGGGGAGCAGCATGAAAGAAGAGATCTAGATTCTTAGGAGCCATGGGACTGTAGGTCAGTTCTCTGAGTCTTAGTTTCCTTAACAATTAAAAGGGGGAAAATAATTCCCCTGCCTGCTCCATTGGGCAGAATGTGTTATAGAAATGTGAGTGGTTATTGTTATTGTCCTCCAGAGCTGTGTCACTTCCTCTAGAAAACCAAAAGAGAAAGGAGAGAGAATTTTTATACCTACCTCTGCAGCTGAATAGTGAGTGTGACCTGCTCTGCCTAGAGGAGGACCGTGACTGGATTGGGACCTTGTCTGGATCCCTCTTTTGAGCTGAGAGATGCGTGTTAAAAAATGACTCATGCATGTGACAGCTTGCACTTTAGTGGTTATATACACACATGTGCAAACAACCCATTAATTGCCCTCAGTATTTCCTCTTACACTTCCAACATATTGTTTTTTAGGTTTTACAATTGGTGTTCAGCAGTTGCACCCTGCTTTTATCCAGAGGTCTTATGGGTAAGTGAATATGGCTTTTTTAATGTGGTTGGGGGGAATGGGAGGAGAGAATAATTCTTGGAGGGTAGGAACAAGTCCATTAGCTTCTTGTTTTTTTTTTTTTTTAAAGAAGGCAGCAATCCATTTGTCCTAAAATTCTCCAGCCCAAATAGTACATTTGTATTCTGGCTTTACTGTGGTTCAAAAGCCATATTCTCTCGTCTTATTCCTAAACTACCTTACCCCATGTACAAAAGAAATAAGACCATTTTCTCAAGGATTCAGAAACTTGAAACTATGAGAACTAGGGAGGAAAAACCCAGGCAGTGCCCAGGATCATGAAAATAGAGTCCTTCATGGTCAGAAGTGCCACTAGCATGTGTGACTGAAGGCTAGCCACACCCCCAGAGTCTTTTTAGGGCAGCCTAGCACAGGTTCTCATGCTCAAGGAGATGACAGACTACACATGAAGCCAAGGCTGATAGCAAATGAAAGGAACATTAGGTCAGAAATTGATTTTGGCCAGATGTTGTACAGAGACTGAATCCCCAGTGCAAGGGGGCCTATTGTCTGTCCCCTTTCAATAGCGGATCCCATCCCTGCTCAGCCCTCATTCTGTACATCTAATAGGGTCTGGCAGCTGTTTGGAAAAAAGGACGAGTGTACTTCAAGAGAATAATAGACCCTGTCATACCACTTTCATTCAAGTGCCCAATGATTGATGTAGGTCTCTTTGTACCATTGGAGAAAAAGAATATTGATAGGGGTTTTCTTTTTTGAGGGATGTTGGTTGTGGGGGGTGGGGTCAAGGCTTACAGAGCAATATAGGCCCTTTTTTGTGAGCACTAGGTTACCTTTCTCTAATTGAGTCCATGTATCATCTCCTTGGAAAAATAATTGACATTCCAGTTCCCATTGAATCAGGGGTGTTCATACTGGGTCATATTGGGAAGAAGAGTTCATCCAGTTTAGTTGATACCTAAACTGAGAGCTTCTACTTGAAGACCTTTTATAACAGGGAGCTCATTACATCTTCCTTCTAGATCATAGTGTTATATGCCACCCCAGGGCATGTATGCCATATGTTATATACCACCCCTGGCATATAACACTTACAGTGGTCTAGAAAGGAAATAGGTTGGATGGACGGGGCTGGGGTCAAGACAATGCTGGATTGTGGAAGGAGCCCTAGCTAGACCTTCAATCAGGATTTCAGTCTGGCTCAACTGGTGAGTCATTTAACCTCTAAACCTCAGTTTCCTCATCTGTAAAGTTGGAGACAATAATTCTTTCCCTACCTGTCTCCCAGGGCTATATGAGGATTAAAAGAGGTGAAGGATGTGAAAGTGCTGGACCAGCCTGAAGGATCGTTATTATGAATTGGAGGGGGGGAGGCTGAGGGAGCCACCAAATGCTTTTCATTATATGTAATCCAGGCAGAAAGCCCTTTCTTTGCTCCTGTGTGTTTCTGATCATGGCAGCCTAGGCTCACAGTTCTGTCCTTAGGTAACCAAGGGTGGAAAAAGTAGGTGACAGATTTAACCTTGTGTAATTGTGCAGGTGACTGTTGATTTGTTTTTGTTCCCATCCTCTGGCACCGGCATTTTGTTACTAATTCATAGGCAGTTGCTGTTTGCTGCATATGACAACATGGACTCTAAATTATATATTAGTTGCCAAGGGACAATAAGGAGAGGAGTGAATTTGAAGAGGAGGATTGAGCATCGAGTAGGTGGATGGGGAATCAGCTGGCTCTGTATTTGCAAGGATCAGTAAACTCAGGAATTGGGCTGCCTTCTGCTCTGGTGCTTTTCTCAGTTGCTGAAAGTACAGTTAGCTAGAGGGTGGGGAGAGGGAGAGTGCGTGTGTCTGTCCGTGTGACCCTGAGCTGCTAATAGCTCCATGCCTGGTTTCCTAGGCAAGCAGTCAGGTGTTTGCTCGCTGAGCCCGAAGAGTTCGGCCGTCAGCGCCCTTTTTGTCTTTCCCCAAACAATTGGGGAAAGGGAAGCAGTCTGACTCAGCTTTGCTTTTGTCTGCCTGGAAAAGCCACATGCAAAATGAGAAGGTCTGATAATTTGGTGATTGGTGTGGGGGTGAGGGGTGGCTTGGCATCGGGGCAGTCTGGGCTGCCCTGCCAACAAGTGAAAAAGCCGCCCCCAGCT